CAAATTTTATGTGACAATTTATAGAAGTTGATTTTAATTATCACACACAATTACTAATGTATTAATTGTATCAGTGAACTTAGGATCAGACATCTGTTCATTTCTAGGAGAACACAAGATTTCTTCTTGACAAAAAGAGAGCAGTGCTATTGAGTGGTTTGGCTTTAAAGTAATGTCAATAAGCAGAGTTTGCTTCTGCAGGGAGAAGTTTGCCCAGCATTCTTCTTACTGCACTTTGGACTCTTCTATGTGCAATAAGGCAGGAGTAAGGTGGTCAGGCCAGTTGAGTCACCTTTATCTCTAGCTATGTTTTCTTTCCATGTGTTCTGAGTTTCAACAAGGACACTAGCTGCTTAGAACAGGCTAAGCTGTTTCCTTCATCCTTTCCATCCCTTCTTTCCTCCCTTTTCCACTGCAGGTCTAGACACTACCTTCAAGACATACTTGTCCTCCTTTCTTTGGATGAGGAAGAATGGGGAAATTCTCCCAAGACCATTTTCTCTTGATCCTGAAGGTAACATTTATCTTTCTCAGGCATGTGAGTATGGCCCTTACTCCAGTCAAGAATTCCAGGATGAGATTATAGGAAATACGCAGAAGAAACTAAAGAGGGCTGTTCAGTTAAAGACGTTTGGTATTTTCCATGCAATCTAAACCTCTTCCCAACGTAGCTTTCCTGGCTACTTCTTCTGAACATGTATCTTATGCGGGCCTTTTGAACAGGAATGATGAGGTGAGGACAAAGTATTCCTGGGTTCCTTGAGCAGAGTATCAGTGTACGCTCACTCTGCCTCAGGACAACTTCCGGTAGTGCCTGCTGGTGGGGCCACAAAGATGCCACAAATGTGAGATGAACAAAGGACAAACTCCTGGGAAAGGCCATAAATAAATGAACAACTGGCCTGAGACAGAAGTGATATAACATGTCAGAGGTGAAAGTAACCAAGAGTCTTAAATATCTTCAAATAATGATCTCAAACGAGGGGCTTCTGAACTAGGGAGAAAGAGACTTGAAAATAAGTACCCTTCTGGGCAGTACAGTTCAGAGTTATAAATTATAGGCTGGGGGAGAACAGGAGGAGTAACTGCTGCAAAGATTCCCTGCAATGACATAGGACCGAAAGGATGACAAGAGTCAACCCCAGAAAGCTATGCTCAAGCATTTGGCTGGGACAGAGTGAGTAAGAATGGAATAATAGTGAGAACAACACAGTTTGAAAGGACTTAATCGAATAAGATTCCAACCTTGAAAGAGTTCAAGTATCTATTTGATGAATCTGAAACCAGGCTGGGAATGCTGCTGGAAAATAAGAATTACTGACTGGCCAAAAAGATGGCTCAAAAACCCTGGGTTTAATTTCTAGCACGACATGATCCCAGAATTACCACTGGATCTAGCACCTTCAACAAAGAACAACATGGGCCAGAACCATAGTATGACATGCGGCTGACTCAGGTTCAATATCTGCCATCTTATATGGTCCCGTAACTCCCGAGCATAGAGCCAGGAGTAACTCCCTGAGCTTTATCTGCAGTGCGTGGCCAAAACAAAAGATTTTCCTTCTTTGGTTTCTAAGCCATGACTTTATACTCTCTTCTTTCCTGGAACCTCCATTTCAGTCACTGCTGTTTCTATCTTTGGCCTTTTCATGCTATTTTGTTTTTGTGGGGGCTACATCCAGTGGTGCTTAGGGGACACTTCTGGCTCTGAACTCAAGCATTATTCTTTGCGTGTTCAGGGGACCATATGGGATGCTGGGAATTGAATGCCACATGCAAGAAAAGTGCCTTACCCACTTATATTATCTTCCTAGCCCTGCATGCTGGTATCCTGAAAGATTCTGTTCTGAACTCTATTCCCTTTCCCTCTGTAAAAGCCTCCTAAGATGACCTCATCTACACTTAGAACTTTAACCTTTATAAAAAGTGTATCATTAGTTATTTTTCTTGTTAATATTCTCAGTTGCCTCTCAGAGAGTCTATGGGTCCCTCAAATTTAGGACAAATCCAGCATACAGAGCATTTTCTACTAAGTCAAAGATCTCTTCTTGCTCCACTATCTCTTAAGTTCCCACTCTAAAAACCTCAACCTCAACATTTTCCCCTCCTTTCCACATGCAGTTACTCACAATGTCCTACATATTCTACCTTCTATCTTACAAAGACTTTGTCTTCTCTATGCTCACTGCGGTTCCTTCAGCTAACATTCTCTCAACTTTGATTACTCCAATCGAGAGCCTCTGAATGAGTCTTGAAGTCTCCAGTGTTGTCCAACTCTAGGACCTGAGAGACAGTTCAGGAGGTGAGGCACTTCCCTGTATGCCACCGCTGTGGCCATAACCCTGGTTAAAATCCCCAAAACCATGATGGGCTCATGAGCACTGCCAAGGATCACTCCTGAGCACAGAGCCAGGAATAGCTCTTAAATACAATTGGTGTGGCCCAAACACCCTACTCCAGTCCTAAGATAAATATATGTCCAACTCCATCTGCTAGTCACACAGAGCACCAAATGCAAATTGTGTACTTCTCCAAGCTCAGAACAGCAAAATGACTTCCTACTGGTCTCAGAATAATCAAATACTCTATCTGTTTCAGAGGCCTTTCAGGATCAGTCCTTGTTTACTTTATCCAGTGTTGTTGTCTATTGCCATTTCTTTACTTTTTACCCTCTCTGGTCCAGTCATATAAAACTTTTGTTAGGTCTTCAGATGTCCCATGGTCTATTTCTTTTTTTTTTTTATATTGATTTTTATTAGTGAAACACCATGAGGTACAGTTGTAGACTTACAAATTTTTGTGCTTGGGTTTCGATTATACAATGATCAAATACCCATCCCTCCACCAGTGCCCATTTTCCACCACAATTGATCCCAGTATCCCTCCCACACCCATCCCCCCCATCCCACCCTGCCTCTGTGGCAGGGCATTCCCTTTTGTTCTCTCTCTCCTTTTGAGTGCTGTGGTTTGCAAAAGAGGCATTGAATGGCAATCATGTTCGGTCTATAGTCTATTCTCATCATGCATCTCCCATCCTGGGAGGATCCTCCCAACACCCTTTATTTGGTGCACCCTTCTCTATCTGAGCTGCCCTTTCCCCTAGAATGCCCGGCTGGCCTCTAAGCCATGGAGTAATCCTCCTGGTACTGATCTCGGCTATTCTTAGGTATTAATCTCCTATTTTGTTACTCTATGTCCCCCAGATGAATGCAATCTTTTTATGTCTATCCCTCTCTTTCTGACTCATTTCGCTTAGCATGATACTTTCCATGTAGTACCACTTGTATGTAAATTTCATGACTTCATCTTTTCTAACAGCTACATAGTACTCCATTGTGTAGATGTACCAAAGTTTCTTTAACCAGTCATCTGTTCTTGGGCACTCAGGTTTTTTCCAGATTCTGCTATTGTAAAGAGTGCTGCAATGAACAAACAAGTGCAGATGTCACTTCGACTATACATTTTTGCCTCTCCGGGATATATTCCCGGAGTGGTATTGCTGGGTCAAATGGGAGCTCAATTTCTAATTTTTTTGAGAATCGTCCATACTGTTTTCCAGAAGGGCTGAACCAGTCGGCATTCCCACCAGCAGTGAAGGAGTGTCCCTTTCTCGCCACATCCGCACCAGCATTGGTTGCTTTTGTTCTTTTGGATGTGGGCCAGTCTCTGAGGTGTGAGATGGTATCTCATTGTGGTTTTGATCTGCACCTCCCCAATGATTAATGATGTACAGCATTTTCTCATGTGCCTTTTTTCCATTTGGATTTCTTCTTTGAGAAAGTTTCTGTTCATTTCATCGCCCCATTTTTTGATGGGGTTGGACGTTTTCTTCTTGTGGAGTTCAACCAGTACGTTGTATAACCTTGATATCAACCCCTTGTCAGATGTGTATTCGGCGAATATCCTTTCCCATTCTGTAGACTGTCTTTGTATTTTTGGTCACTGTTTCTTTCGAGGTGCAGAAGCTTCTTAGTTTAAGATAGTCCCATTTATCTATCTCTGTTTTCATTTGCTCCCATGGTCTATTTCTTACATGAGTTTTCCTGTGCACAAGCTTTTTAAATTAAAACATATTCCATGTCTCTCTACCATCTCATCTACCAATACTGCCACTTCTCGCTACAAGCTCAACTCCCACCTCTGGACTGGAGCTTTCCCTGATACCCTCCCTCAGTTGCCTGGCTATCAGCCCCTACAGCACTCAGCTACATGCTGCTATAGCACTTCATCTGCAATGGGAATTTTCTTCTATAACTTTGATAGTTTATCTCTAGTCTTAGAGGCTAAACTCAGCATATCTTACCCATTTGGGTTTCGATTACACAATGGTAAGTACTCAAAAAATGAATAAAGAGGATAGTATAAACCAAGGTTTGGCAAACTAGAGCTTATCAGCCAAATCCAGTCACAATCTGTACAGAAGCTAAGAGTACATCTAGGTAGACATTTAAGTGAAGCAAGGTTTTTATTGAACCAAACTTGCTTAGAAAGATGTGAGAGGAGACAAAGAGTAGAAAGGTGTTCAAGAGAGCAAATGGGCTCTTCAAAGTGCAAACAAGCAAGCAAAGAAACAAACAAGCAAGGTCCGTGTTCAAAGGAGAACACAGGCTTGAAGAGCAAGCCAAGCGTTAACCCATATTCTTTAAGCAAATAAACAAAGTGTCCCTCCTTGGCCTCAAATTGCACCCCCAAAAAGGCTACTACCCCTACCCTGGATCATTCCAGTGCCCCTCTGTGAACATTCTCACCCACTTTGGGAATCACTAAACCACCCATGCACCACTCAAACAGTCACACACTTTGGGAAATACTGGTCTAGGGTGGTCAAAACGAGCTGTTTTGAGTAGTGACAAGGGTCTCTGACACACACAACTAGGCTCCAGCAGAGGCTACCAGCCAATCAGCAGGAATCCAGATTCAAGAGCACACATATTGTGCCATGTGAGAATCATCCGTGTCTAGCTGTGCCCCACCCCACCCCAGCCCCCCTGCCCGTTTACCTCCCAGCTCTTGGTGGTTGGCTCACTGAAGAAGTTGTCGATCATATTCAGTTCTTCCTTCTCCACTACGACAAAGCCTTGCTCTTTGGCATCTTTCCCATAGACGTCAGGAGACCACTGAACAAAGAATGTGTACAAATGATCCACCCTGAAAAACAGAGTCATAGGAATTAATGCCAAATCCATTTTCCTGGCAGGTACAAGTAGGGATTCAGCACATCCATTCATCTTTTTCCTGCTTGGCAAATCCATTTTCATTGGGAAGTTTGCCACAGTGAACATAATCTCTCCGAAGGCATTCCAAAGTTGACAAATACCATCCAATGAGAACTGAAGCCCCCAAACCCGGGAAATGTCCCTCAATCTCAAGTAAAGATCAGGAGACAGGATATAAAAATGTAATGCACAATCATATATTTATACCAATTTTTTTTCTCATCATTTGGCTTTTACTTTCTGGACCCTTGTATTCACTGGGGATAAAAAAAGGTAATGTGGAGTTTTATCTAATTACTGAATTTCCAATATAATTTTAATTAAACATCTTAGTAACAATCAGGAGTAATACTAGTTACTGCTTTAATACTGTAAACAAAATTTTATTGATATAGAATGTAATCTGATTCCAAATCCTCTGTTTTCATATATATTGAACATCTAGATTCTGACACATATCTCCAGACTTAATCAATACTGAGACGGCTATTCCCGAATCAGAGAACACGTTCTTGAATCACCATGAGAACAGTCACAAAGCCTTTCGATTTAAGTCTCAGTCGGTCATACAATGTTCAAACACCCATCCCTTCACCAGTGCACATTTTCCGAACCAAGAACCCAAGTATACCCCCTCTCAATCACCGCCCCCCCGCCTGTGTGGCAGATTTCCACTTTATTTTCTCTCTCTACGTAGATCACATTCAATATTATGACAAAAGACCAAACGTTATTATTATGAATTTTCCCCAACATTCAGACCTGCCAAAAAGACATCATTAGATAATTTGTTTTCTAATGCTGATTATAAAGAACATATGATGTCGTGTGGCTGCTAATGCGGCCATGCGATTTTGGATTTCTGATATTTTAGTAATAAGCCTAAGGGAGTACTGTCAAAAGCCCCCGGGTTCAAAGATTGGTTTGTGTACCTCTGGGATCATGGTCGATGAACTGTATTCTTTTTTTTTTTTTTTTCTTTTTTTTTTTTCCCCTTTATTTTATTTTATTTTTTTTAAAGTTGTAGATTTACAATTTTTTGTGCTTTGGTTTCAATTATACAATGATCAGATACCCATCCCTCCACCAGTGCCCATTTTCCACCACCATGGATATTATCCCTCCCACCCCCATCCCCCCATCCCCCCGTCTCTGTGGCAGGGCAATCCCCTGTGTTCTCTCTCTCCTTTTGGGTGTTGTGGTCTGCAAAAGAGGCATTGAGTGGCAAACATGATGAACTGTATTCTTAAGCCTCAGGTAGTTAAGTTTATTGCTCTTTCTCTGATTGTACGAATAATGCGCCAACACCCTCATAGTGTATGCTTTTTACCATCTTTTGATTTTCTTGAGATTATTTTTTTTTAAAAAGATGATTAGGCCCAAAGCATGATCTTATAGCTTGTGATTTGCCTGCCAAACTGTTTCTGAAAGACTGAATATACTCTAACACTAGCACTGTAGTTGAAATATCACAAAACAAATCTTACTTATACTTTTTTTTGGAGAGGGGTACTCAGGAGGTCTGGGGTTGCACTGGCAATTCTTGGCCTACAGAGCTGTCAGTTCAGTGCAAGGGCCCAGGGTGTGGTGCTGTGAGGTCTCTATGAATGCATGTGTCAAAACTCATAGTTTTGTAGTGCCAGAAATCAAACTGAGGTAGGGTGCTTACTACGCATAGGTGCTAACCACTGGACTATCTCCCGGCCTCTTGCCCTCCTTTTTAAATGAGTGGAACCTGATTCACTTTTCATTTCTTTGAGTGTTAGTGTGTTAAACATTTCTTAAATGTTTTTTTCCTGGTTGCAGCCCTTCTTTCATGAGATGTCTCTACCTGACTGTGGACTCGATATATATTTTTTAATTTGTGGGAGTCTTCATATAATAGCAGTCCATTGCCTTAACCACTTGGCCACCTAGGCTGGAGCGACAGAACAGCAGGTAGGGCATCTGCCTTGCACACAGCCGACCTCTGTCCCTCTGGGAGAGCCCAGCAAGATACTGAGAGTATCCTGCCTGCACTGCAGGGCCTGGCAAGCTCCCCGTGGCATATTCAATATGCCAAAAACAGTAACAAGTCTTACAATGGAGACGTTACTGGTGCCAGCTTAAGCAAATCGATGAACAATGGGAGGACAGTGCTACAGTGCTTCATATAATAAAAGAATTAACCGTTATTAAATGATTTCTAGGCTGTTATTTCTTTCATGTGTGTGTTAATATATTGTTTTTTGTGATACAGGAGTGCCTTGCCTTTTCTTCTCTACATATTCTAAAGGAATATTTCCTCTGAAATTTCTCCTACTCTTTCAAAATATAGACAGCTGGGGGCTGGAGAGATGGTATAATGGGTAGGGTGCCCCCTTGCACATGGCTGACTCACGTTTGATCCCCAGCATCCCATATGATCCCCAAGCCTGCCAGGAATAATCCCTGAGCACAGCTGGGCATAGCTCAAAACAAACAACAAAAGTTTTCACTCCCCAAAAAGGTAGTATCAATGTGTATGATTTTAAAATTATATGGATATACATTATAATTGTAAATTACTAAAATTATGTATGTGTAATCATTAACTTTATGTGTCAATGTGGCTAGGCCTTGTCCCATTTTTGTTCAAACATTAGATATTACTACGACAGTTATTAAAATGCAATTAATTTTAAATTTACTAATTTAAAAAATGCACTTAAATGAGCTTTAATACTTTCTATAACAGGAGAAGATCTCATACTATGAGCCAAAAGGGCTTAAGAAAATAGACTGAGGTCTGCTAGCTAGAAGGAACTTCAGCTATATGGATTTTACACTTGGGAATACATGATCAGATTTTTCTTGGGTCTATAGTCTGCCAACCTACACTGCAAATTTTAGACATACTCACCCTATAGCCAAAGTAAGCTGATTCCTTAAAACAAATATTTCTCTACACATCCTATTAGTTCTGTTTCTCTGGAGATCCTTGCCTAACATAGTAGTTTGTGTCAAAGGATTGACCAAAAAGACTGATCAAAAATGGTTAACTCTGGGGAATGGAGAGTCATGGAAAATTCATTTTAGACCATGTCTATCATCCATGATAATAATTAACTTAATAATTTTTGGAATAATACATTTTTATGGCTGGAGCGATAGCACAGCGGGTAGGGCGTTCGCCTTACAAGTGGCCAACATGGCCGACCCGAGTTCGATTCCTCCGCCCCTCTCGGAGAGCCCGGCAAGCTACCGAGAGTATTCGATATGCCAGACACAGTAACAACAAAGTCTCCAATGGAGACGTTACTGGGCCCACTCGAGCAAATCGATGATCAACGGGAGGGCCTTAGAGGTGAGGAAACATTTTTATGATGCAAGTATCAAAATTACATCGTAAAACACATATAATGAGAAGTTTCCTTCGGATTCAAATCACTGTCTACCACAATTTTTGTCCACTCTTTTGTCATATAAGTGACCACTTTATTAATTTCTGATATGCTTTTGTGATATTTTTATGTCTATTCAAATTAGAATAAATATAAATTCGTTGTGACTTCTACAAAATGATGGTTCTATCCTATCTTGCTTTTTAAATTTGACATATATTCCAAATGTGATTCTTCTTTAGTAGAGATCACTACCTCATGCTTTTATAGCTACATAATATATTACTGGAAGATTTTCCCTAGTTTTAGTAACTATCCTCTATGCTGGACACCTGGATTCTTTCCAAGACTGTGTTGTTTGAAACAATGTCTTGATGAATAACTTCGGATGTGAGTCATTCCACACATATACAGAAATAGCAGTCTGATACATTCAAAAAAGTGGGACTGCATTATCAAAGGAGCAATTCACTTATAATTTTGTTAGGTAATAATACGCTGCCCTTTGTAGATTCAATATCATTCTTTACCCTCCAACTAGTAATATGTATGCTTGATTCTTTAAACTATTTTTATCAAGAAGTATGAAATTTCCTACTAAAATTAGAGTTTAATAAATCTGCATTAGTCACTCTTTTTACTCTATAATATTTAAGATTTAGTCCATATAACTCATTTTTAATTAAAATTTATGTTTCAGGGATATACCTGGGTATGCTCAGGGCTTACGTCTGGCTTTGCACTCACTCCTGGCATTGAGCTCAGGGATTATTCCTGGAGGTGGTTAGGGGACCATCTAGGATTCCTGTATTGAATTTCAGTCGGCTGCACACAATGCAAGTGCCATACCGGATGTACTGTCTCTCTGGCCCCCCAGAACTATATTCCGGAATAGAACTGAGAACCAAATATGCTTCACTCTCTTTCAGTAAAGAAGACACTTACTATATGTACAACTGCACTGAATAAATATCTCCCTAATTATTTGATAGGTTGTGAGGGAAAGAAAAAATAGTCCTTGAGAGCTGGGGGCTTGCATGATCCTAGCCCTAGTGTGGCTGGAGTTAGTCTAGCATTCACAGGTTGACACTGATAACCTTCCATTGAACACAGACAATTTCATGTAACATCGACATCAGATAAGGGCACTCTATGACAAGGATGAATGATGACAAGACACAAGACAAATCTGAGGTCTCACAGCATGAACATACACAAAATCCTGAACACTGTCCAATCACAGAGTAAGGAAACATCTAATATGGCTACTACGTGTCTTTCCAGTCTTCCCTCTTTATAAGGTAACCAATCACAGAAAAATCTCTGCTTGCTCATACCACTCCTGGGAATATATCCCAGAGAGGCAAAAATGTGTAGTCGAAGTGACATCTGCACTTGTTTGTTCATTGCAGCACTCTTTACAATAGCCAGAAACTGGAAGAAACCTGAATGCCCAAGAACAGATGACTGGTTAAAGAAACTTTGGTACATCTACACAATGGAGTACTATGTAGCTCTTAGAAAAGATGAAGTCATGAAATTTACATACAAGTGGTACAATATGGAAAGT